AAAACATCCTAAATCGCAGGATAATCCTTGAGAAATACATAGTGGATGCCCTCGAAGAGGGCATTCCTCCTCCTTCTCGCCCCATGGACACTCAGAGTCACTGGCAGGTCTATCACCGTAACCGAGCAGCAAAGACCTCAGCCTTGTCGCCGGGAGATTTGGTCTCCATAGCCAACCAGGCAGGATTCCAGGTCAACATTAGTTGGGCTCGACAACGGTCACAGCGTGGGGCATTCGATGCAATCTTTCATCGACTGAAGCCAGATTGTGTACAACAGCGGGTCTTGTTCAACTTTCCAGCCGATCATCAGGGCCAGGACATCGGCTCATTCACCAACCATCCCGTCCAGAGTCAACAAGATCAACAGTGCATAAATGAGCTCAGGGAGTACTTGCACGCGCAGCTTCCAGCATATATGGTTCCACGCACCATCACCGTCCTCGATCAGCTTCCACTGACAGATCGCGGCAAGGTCGACCGCCAGGCCCTTCGCCTGCGAATGACACAGCAAGAACCAGCAACTACTGAACTGCAGCCGAGTTCTGATAGAGAAACACTAGATTCCGGTACTGGAATTGAGCGAGCCATTTGCAATGTATTTGCGGAGGTATTAGGACAGCAGGCTTCTGTTGACAGAGAAAGCAGTTTCTTTAGCCTGGGGGGTCATTCTCTGCTGGCTCCCCGCCTGGCGGCTCAACTATCGAAATGCCTGGATTGCACGGCAACTGTCCGAGACGTCTTTGACTGCCCGACGCCTGCGAGATTAGCGGATCGTTTGCGATTAAAACAGCCGGACAGTAGTAATATGGAAGTGAGTTCCAATATTGAAGATCAAATGAGACTCTTTGCGTTGGACAAGGTTAGAAATCGGAATGCCCTTCGCGACTGGGGTGTTCGGTCAGACGAAGTGAGTCACTTGATGCCGTGCACGCCGTTCCAAGAAGGCGTTTTGTCCAATTCTCTCGCTGCACCAGGAGACTCCGGTTATTTGAGTGTCGTACGGCTAGGTCTGGAGTCAAAACTTGATGTGGAAGCAATACGGCTCGCGTGGCAAGAAGTGGTTCATCGCGAAGAGACCCTCCGCACGGCTTTTATTCCCGTTGCTGGGGATGTGTCTTCATCATCCATTACCTCCAGCACCTTTTGGCAATGCATCTTCGACAACAGCTCCCCTGAGGTTCAACGACTTTTATCTATCGACGGGCAAGATAGGCAGCGGGACCGCCCTGCTTTAGGCTTTGGTCATATCCCGGTATCGTTGGCTTTGGTGAGTGGACCAACCTCGTGCAAGGCTGCCAGGGATAGTTGCTCGCCCCAACTCGAACTCACCATCCATCACGCTCTGTATGATGAGGCGTATTTCAGATGGATCATTCAGGAAGTTTCCCGCGAGTATCATAAAGCTCGACTAGAGGAAGATCGTATTCCCCAGCGGCCAACTGATATTTCTGTGAACATGATTCCGTTCCGCACGTTTGTCTCTCAGCTGCAGGCGGTTCCAAAGGGAGGTGCAGCCTCATTCTGGAAAGAGTATCTAAATGGGGCTCCTGCCGCTTCCTGGCCGGTTGCGAGAGGACTGGAGCGTGGCCGAATAACAAAAATCGACGAGTTCTCGAGCCGGTCCCTGACATGGAAGGGAAACATGCATGATCTAGCTGGAGCTAGAGCAGTCACTCCTGCCGCTATTTCACGAGCTGCAGTGGCGCTCGTCATAGCCGAGCACAGTGGTGTAGAAGACATCGTTATTGGCGAGGTGTCTAGTGGAAGATCCATCTCTGATGGCGCTCCTGGGTTCGTCGCCGGTCCTTGTATCTCAACACACCCTGTCCGGATACGCATGCAACAGAGGCAGGGATCGAGCAGCAGCAGCAGAAGCAGTCAGCAGAGAGTGTCCTTTGACCAGTTGGTTAAACATTCGCTGGATTCCTATTTGGAGACCGTGCCCTACCACCAGCTCGGCTTGCCCAGTATCCGACGGCAGTCTGATGCCCCCGATCTCCTGCCTTTTCAAGTGCTTTTTGTTTATCAGCAGGCTTTCAATTTTGAGACGCACGCTCGAGAAGAAGAAACCTTGCCCGACTTGAAGGTCCAAGGGGGTCACCTGGGTCGGTTTGAGTTTCCTGTCGTGCTGCAAGCGTCCTGCCATCCATGCACGGGCAACCTGAACCTACAGTGCATGTTTGATCCAACGGTTTTAATTCCAGAGGACATTGAGTGGTTTCTCGAACATATATCCCAGGTTCTCAGTTTAATCGCCGACAGTTCCTCTCAGCCTAATGCCAGGCTAACGATTAGTGATGCTGAAGAAGCAGCGCTGGCCAAACTCGCGGGCGAGAGAGGGCAGACCCCAGAATCACCGATGAACACTGCTAACGACTCGCTGTGCGCACATGATATGATATCGCGACGGGCCATGGAGAACCCGTGCAAGATAGCGGTGCAGTATGAACTCTCCCGGTTCATGACATACGGAGAGCTGAACAGTCAGAGCACCAAGCTATCAATCATGATCCGCGGATTTTTCAATCACACTTGCAAGTCAGATTGTCATCAACAACCCTTGGTTCCAATTGTCTTCGACAAGGGAGTGGACATGGTATTAGCAATGGTTGCTGTTCTCAAATCTGGGGCGGCTTATATTCCACTCGACGTTTCCCATTCCGAGCAGCGGCTAAGGGTGATATGTGAATCCGCGCAGGCCAAGCTTATCCTATGGGATGGCCACAATGGTCTTGACAAGCTGCAGGCTATTGGGCACTCTTTAGGCGCCACCGTCTCGACCCTGACCGAACTTTCTGATGCAGCGGACGGTTGGAAAAGCACTCAGCAGTCTGAGGGACAGCCTACACCGTCCTCCCTAGCCTATATTATCTACACGTCTGGTTCCACGGGCGTACCGAAAGGTGTAATGGTCAGTCACGCAAATTTGGTATCCTTCATGAAATCTGCAGCAAGGGACACATACATGTCCTGGACCGTGAACAGACTCCAGCTCGCTTCATATACATTTGACATGTCAGTCAGCGATATCTTCCCCGTACTTGCCACAGGGGGGCGTGTCGTACTCGCCCAACAACAGTCCCTCTGGAGCGATCTGGCTGGGTGGGTGGATGCCTTTGCAGTCAATCAACTTATGACAACCCCCACGGTGGCAGATATGATGCTTTCCAGTGCATCCTCCGACGGATTCCAGTTGGCGCATTTGCGCGATGTGATAGTGGGAGGCGAGGCCGTCAAGGCAGATATCCTGGATAAGGCACCGGCAGAGATGGTATTTCGGATCCAGTACGGTCCAACTGAGACTACCGTTGTCGTGACTGGTTGTATGCTTCGAGGACCTGCATACCACCACCCTGTTCCGCATTCGCAGGTTACCACAATTGGATTCCCGCTTCCTGGCTGTCGCGTCTACATTCTCCAGCCAGGCACGTCCAACCGAGTACCTATTGGAGTACCGGGTGAACTATGCATCAGTGGACCACAGGTAACTGGGGGCTACCAAGGTAGTGGCGTGGATAATCCTCTCAAAAGCCCATTTGTCCCCGATCCCTTCTGGGCCGGGCAGACAATGTACCGGTCTCGCGACATTGCCAAAGTCCACGGAGATGGAATGATTGAGTGGATTGGGCGGATGGATTCCCAGATCAAACTGCGGGGCCTGCGGATTGACTTGGGCGAGATCGAGTCTTCAGCGAGGCAGCTCAATGGTGTCCAGTCGTGTGCTGTTGTCAAGGTGGACCAGGGAGTGAATGAGACCTTGCTTGCCTTCATCGAGGTAGCAAGCTCTCACGAAGAACACATTACGCCTTCCATCATCCAGCAACATCTTGCACATCGTATCCCCGCCTACATGGTCCCTGCCCACATTCAGCTGCTCGACACACCACTTCCGCGCACTGCCTCTGATAAGCTGGATCGAAAGGGAATCCAGGCCCTTGCGCAGAAGCTTGTAGATGACGAAGAGTTACTGTCCTTCTGCGCCAGCGAGATGCCAGCGGCTGATCGCCCATGTCCAGGGACCCTGGAGGCAACCCTCGCCTCGCATTGGGCCACTATACTAGGAGTGGACCAGGAGATGATCGGTTTGCAAACGCCGTTCTCTTCTATAGGAGGTGACTCTGTGCGGGCCATCAGTCTACTCGCGCTACTGCGGCGCAACAACTTCCAGCTCAATTTGACCGATTTGGTTTCGCTGTCAACCATTCGGTCCCAAGCATCCCGAATCCTCGGTGACAAGCAACCACCGCAAAGGCTCCCTGCTTACATGCAGTTGACCAACCGCAGCACCAGTCGGGCGACGATGGTGCTGATCCATCCCTTCTTCGGTCAGTCGAGTGTGTTCGACCATGTTGTGCCGGCCCTAAGCCACCAGTACGATATCGTGCAAGTGTCTGATCCCTTCTTCGGAAAGCCGGAGGGCCCCGCATCCCTGCGCGACTGGGCCGCACATTACTTGGAAGCGCTGGAAGTCCAGCTGAGGTCAGGCCGGCCCGTCGTTCTGGTCGGATACTCTTTCGGCGGCCTGCTGGCACTAGAAATGGCACGATTATTGGAGGTAACAGGACAAGGATCACCCTTGTCGACCGTTATTGTTGACACCCGTTGCTATGATCCGCACCAGCCGTTCTTCGCCGATGAGAAAGAGAGAAGCACCGCCGCGGATGATGCCGTCCGCCTCTTTGGCCCCGACCAAACCAGAATGATCGAGGAACACTTTGATAAACATGCCCGCATCTGGGCAAATTCCGCGTGCCCGGACACCTACCTCGGCCGTTCGCTCTACCTGGCCACCCCGGATGCCGTCGTGTCCGGCATTGTCGACTGGTGGCGGACTCAGTGCCCGCACATTGAGGTGCAGCGAGTGGAATGCTCACACGAGGAGATATTCGGTCCGGCGATGACTGGACGCGTAAGTGGGTTGATCAATGCACATTGCAACCTGGATACACACGCACAATGACGCTTGGGAAGAGAAGAGAACGTGCGCCTCATGCGAGAAGGTCAAGAACCTGCTAGGGTCTGGTAGTTGGTTTGGGCTTTACTGATTTTTATACGCGATTTGATGAAGCTCAGGGATGGGCGATTTGGTGGGTGGTTGGTTGGTTGAAGTAGCTAAGTTCTCTGCGTGGTGACAAGAGGCGAGGGCCTTGGGGTCACGTGGCCGGGTTACTCGGGAACACCGATAACTCGATATTTTCATTAGTATGGGGAGATATAGGTAAGAAGAATTTGCAAGCCAGATTTGAGGTGTGTGTTGGTCTACTAGGCGGAAATTGTTCATCTTCTGAAACCCAATTTCAGTGTAATATAACTTGATTACTGTTTTCTTTTACAAGTTGATGACAGCAACGTAGAAGCTAGTTGACTATCACATACCATCGAGGGCGAGAGGCTCATGTGCAACATCTTGCAGGTTGATATGGCCTATGGCTCACATGGTTTATTTATCAATGAGCCACTCCAAATACCAGGTTGAAGTCTTGAAATTGTCAATCGTATGCGGTACACTATTCTGTATTATACTTTATAGTACTAAACATCCCAGAGAACTCAGCTCCTGGTAGATAGAAATCGAAAGAGGAATCCCTCCTGCAACCGGGTTATTTCCACGCAGGCGAACCCTTACCCTTTCTTTGACTCTTGAAGTTGCTATCCTCCGATGCCCGGGAATGCTACGACCTATATCACACACACCATCATAGTGATACAAAATGGTATCTCTAATTGAAGGAAAGCAAAAACATATAACAGAAGGGATTTGCTGGTGGTCACCCACCCACTACTAACCTCCCGGTAGGCCTCGCCACGGATCGGGTTTGGGTCCAATATTAGAACCCATACCCACAAGTTGGGTCTGAATACTGGACCTAAAATCCAAACATGCCAATCTGCAGATTGGATATATTGACCTGTACATTACCGGCCAAGAACCAATTTAAGTACAAGATTTCTAATTAGGCTATACTTAAATATATAAAACTACTAAGTGATTTAGATTTACCCTTTATCTCATCGCATTCGGCGATGTTTCAGTCTTTACCTCCGAGCCGCCTGCAGGCGAATGGACCAATACCTCAAGCACGCAACTTGGAAAAATTTCTACATTCTAGCCTTGACACGGAATCAGCCCAGCCGAAAACTTCAAGTTGTTCCAAAAGAGCGTAGTCTAGCAGAAGTGACAATGAATATTTGCCTCACACCTAGCCGGACGAGCAAGGCTAGGGAGCTGCGATTGCCTTGAAACCGCAAGTTTTCTGATCTAATTTACATCGGTAAGACCGCAAAATAGCACACCGCAATGTGCCTGCCACGTCACAATGAAAAGAATCAATGACGAACAGAGCACAAGGAGCCTATGTCCATCAACATGTTTTATGCCGCCACCAGAAGGTTATACCACTCCTCACATCTTTCCGCCACGCGAGGATCTTCCCTGCCTGTGCTGATACCGGTTGCGTTCAGGACCAACAATGTACTTTCGGGTCCATAAATGGGCACATGGCGGATATGGTCCGTAGCCGGTTTTCCCGTAAGTGTAAAACTGGTGATAAGCTGCTGCAAGGCAATCATCGGGTCAAATACTCCCGGTGTCGGGTCCAAGTTCACATCAAATGTTGCTGAAACGTCCTGCGCGTGGAGGCCCGGGAAAACGTCAAAAACGTAGTTATAGGTGGCATTTCCCAAAGCCCCGGCAAGCATAATCTCGTTGCACTGGATGACTGCTTCCTGAAAGGTAGCGCCCGCGCGACTTATTTCATCCGTATATCTGCGCGAGCCATTGAAAACCGGCGGATACATCTGGGTAGAGACGTAAGCAGTGTCGTTAGGCTGAAGGTCAAGCAAGCCGGATATGTAGGCTTGATAGCCACTCTCATTTCTAAGAGAGAAGTCGGAGAAGATGATTCCGTCGTTGCCATTATAAGCTAACATCGGAGTAACAGTAGCGTCCAATTTTCTTTCGCGGAGAAGGCGGAATGGGGGTTCTGGAACAAATGTACCGTCCACTACGGGCCCATAAGTAAAGCTTCCGAGAGAAGAACCGTAGATCTGTTGGCGGTTCGCCTCGATAAGGATAGACGAGGGCAGGCGTCGGGCCTCCTCTAGGGTGCTGACGTTGGCGAATTGAAGGAATTCGTGGAAGATCTGTTCCTGCCGACAGGGATTGAGAATTTGATCGGGTGTAAATGCAGGCGACTGCAATATAGCTTGTTGAAAGGGAACAGGCCCATTACTACCACCGTATGCCTTGAGGGACAGTCAAAAACCGAACTATATCAGAGAGAAGCGGGTACAAAACCGACCGTTATTTGATGCAGGATAGAGCCACCTCCTGCTGACTCGCCCATGACAGTTACACGCTCGGAGTCACCCCCAAAGAGGTGGATATACTGTTGAACCCATTCCAAGGCAAGACGCTGGTCTAACAAACCGGCATTTGCTGTGCCGTTTCGCTGAACAGCCGAACCACTGAGCCAGCCAAAGGCGCCGAGGCGGTAGTTAATCGCCACATAGACGAACTCATTATCTCCACGACGAAGCAGGCCCACGGGAGAACCGCTCCCCTCACCAGACTTAGAGCCAACGGCGTATCCCCCTCCATGGATCCAAACCAAGACCTAGATTTGTAGTCAGTATGTTTGCTTCGACCAAATTTCGGTTTGATTGGTATCCACTCACGGGTGCTCCCTTTCCCTTTCTGCCAGAGGACTTGAAGATTTTCTTGGGCACGACAACGTCGAGAAAAAGACAATCTTCACTCGCACGTGGATCCATCAGAACGGATTCCGTGCTGGTAACACTGCCATTGAAGAAGTAGCTACCGGCAGCCGACATTGACTGTGGCATCCATGATGGGAGGGCCTGCGGACAAATCCGAACTTCGGAGCCTATCTGAACCAATGTTCTGTTGACTTCGGGCTGGACAGGAGAGGCGAAGCGGAGATCTCCCACTGGTGCAGCGGCATAGCGGATGTTAGAGAAGTTGTATAATCCAGTATGTTTCTATATCAATGTAAACGTTCTGCTCAAGCTGTAGATATGCAGTTGCGAAGTCTACCTCGTAGGAAATGGGTTGATGGAGTTCATATCCAAGATCAACAATAGGCAAATGCGTCGCGTCAGCTTGTGCGGCGATGAGAAAGCTGAGCACGAGATTAAACCAAAGTGTTGTGTAAGTGAGGAGTATCATTGTGATGATAGCGAAAAGCAACCTTGAGAGGCAATGTTGATCTGAGTATGTTGGGAGGCAGTCGCTGAAGGGGTGCGATTCTCTCTCTTTAAGTACATTGAACTCATTCAAGTCAAATCATAGATAGTCAAGGCGCTGGCTAATGCGACTTTTTTTGGTGATAGCTTCGAGTTTTGCGATACAGAATCCGACTCTACATGCCGATCCCCCGGAGATTGATGGGTTAACTCCGCTCGGCAGCCGTGGCTCACAGTCTGACAGTTCAAAGTCACGGGGATCATTCTCTAGAGACAAGTAGTCTCGACATAGCTGACATTGTCATGACCGAGAACCATGAGATACCGAGAGTACCGAGAACACCGAACTCCTGAGCATTGCCGAATTCCCCGAGCTGCCGAGCTCCCGAGTGACATCCACATCAATCACCACAATTAACCTTTTTACAAGTACGTTACGCCAGTGGGTCGAGCATTAAATAAGGTTTGATCCACGCAGCAGCCAATTCAGCCAATCAAGGCTGATGAGGTACTCCGCAGGATCAGCCACAAAGGAGGGCTCCGCCCACCTATGGTGGATGTGGTGGAATTGGCTATACGATTAATCAATGTGAAAATCGCTAGATCATTATTCGTTATTGCGTTTTGGTTGCGATATCCTCTTTTAATATTATATAATAGGGGTGGGTGATCCGCTTGCTTGTGGATTGAAGCATGGTTATGCCAACAATGTGCTTATACACATATGTTATAATCTCTCAATAGGATAGAAGAAAAAAGGAAGACCTGTTCAGGTAATTCTAGGAATGAACAAATATCTCCAAGACCATGACACGCATGTCTGCTTTGTGAAACAATAGGCTACAAGACAGCTTTGTCTGTCCAAAGGAAGTTGTAACAATCTTATCTCCGCTAGTCGGCTTACATGCCGATATAGTGGATGGCTGTCCGCCAGGAAAGTCCAAGTCCAAGTCATTGCTGACCGGTGTTAGCGGAAACAATAGAGTTACCGGAGTTAATGAGCAGAATATTTGCGCTAATACTTAGGAGGCTCTGGTGGTAAGAGTTCGAAGGTCTCGCTTTTCATCCGCCAAGTAAGATCGGCAACGTAAGATGCTCTGACATTATCTGTTTGGTATTTTAAAGCCACTCAGGAAACAACATGGTGAAGTATTGTTGTAATTGCTAGTTTTAAGGTTGAATTCAGTATCGTACATGGATCAGAATCCTTAGAATATATAAACCCCCTCAGCTCCTGCTCTGGAAGATTGTGAGTAAATTACCGCACATCACAAACAGTCGTTAGTCATGCCTTCCTCTTGCTTCACAAAGCTTTTCGACAAAACAAAGATGGCCCCTAAAGACCAGACAATCCTCATCACAGGCGCCTCTGGTTTCTTGGCTTCGCATATTGTGGACTATTTCCTTCGCGCTGGTTACCAGGTCCGAGGGACTGTTCGCTCAGCCGCAACCGCCGAAAAAGTTCAACAGACTTTCCCTCTATATGCCTCACAATTATCCTTCGCTATCGTTGAGGACGTCGCAAAGCCAGGAGCCTTTGATACCGCGGTCAAAAATGTTCATGGTGTGATCCATACAGCTGCTCCATTTCAAGTCTTTGGAGTTGAGGATAATGAGCGTGACCTGCTCAAGCCAGCCATCGACGGGACCCTCAACATTCTGAAATCCGTCCACAGATTTGCCCCGCAGGTGACGCGTGTTGTCTTCACTTCTTCCTTCGCTGCTATGGTCGATGTTACCAAGGGCAATTGGCCTGGTCATACCTACTCTGAGCTCGACTGGAACCTAACTCCGTACGAAGCTGCAGCCGCCAAAGGCGTTCCTGCCGCATTGGCGTACTCAACGGCGAAGGCGTTGGCTGAGCGTGCTGCCTGGGACTTTGTTAAGAGTAACAAACCCAACTTCAATATCACAGCAATCATGCCGCCAATGATATACGGCCCCAACATCAACGCAACTGCCGACCTTACCAAGTTAAATACCTCGTCTATGGATATTTACCGCCTTATGTCACCGCAGTCGAAATCAAGCGACCCGGTTCCAGAGAATATGTTTTGGTCATTTGTGGATGTACGCGACGTGGCTGAAGCACATCTTCGTGCTTACCAGGTAGCTGAAAGTGGTGGTGAACGTTTCTTTATCTGCAAGGGTAACTTTACCTATCAGCAGTTTGTGGATGTCCTGCGGGCCAACATTCCGGAAATCAAAGACCGTGTGCCTATCGGTAACCCTGGGACGGGAGAAGTCCCCGCCGATGTTTACACCGTCGACACATCAAAATCGCAAAAGATTTTGGGTCTGAAGTATCGTCCCTTGGAGGAAACCATCATTGATGCTGCACGGTCTCTTCTCAAGCTTGAGGCTCAGAATGCCTAAATAGACAAAGGGGTCAAAAGGGGAACAATTATGTACATCTTTTGGAGGAAATTCTTACGGACAGGGCAACATGTCCTGTGGAACAGAGTTTAAAGTTTTCGAAATTTCCCTTTGAAAATAGAAACCCCTTACTCTTTTTTTTTTGTTCTCTTTTCCCCCTCTCCATGTCGGTTATTACTTCCCTAGTGAAGGCAATGTTAGTACGCTGGGCTTCTTGGTTTGAACAGGCGGTAGGATCAGTTACAGTTGTTCTCGAAATCAGCTTGACCAGACTCTTCGACTCTCTTTCTCGGCCCCACCGCCAAAACCCTAGTGTTCATTATTAATTGAGCCTACTTTAATTAAGTTACGGCCTGGTACAACTTCCCTGCCGGTAGGGGTTACTAAACCCTATTCTATAAACTTATAAATAATAAATATTTTTAGCTAGTATAATTTTTTTCCTAAAATTGGAGTAAGAAAAAATACTAAAACATGACACTAATATAGAAAAAAATAGACTAATCACTAGTTCTAAATTTATAGCTTGCAGAGTGTTATGAGAGCAAGGCTGTAAGGGCCTTGCGAGCCCTTCCAACCTTCGCGGTTGATATCGCGAAGGACATTTGTTCGTTGTGTCGTTGGTAAGATAGGCGCGTGGAATTGTTGTTTCGTGGACATTTCTGGCGGGGTGGGAAATTACGTAGCCTTTTGCTCGTTCTGGGGGCTGGGTTCTTAGGGATATAATTCGGCCTATTCTATACAGAAGTGGCATGGCAAGAGGAGTGCAAGACCGGTATTTCGTGTGGGCTGATTTGGAAATTGGTTTCCATAGAATGTGAACGAAAAGTACTATTGACACGTGGGCTACTTCACAGCTACTATCTCCCAAGGCAACTGCTCAAATGTGATGACTCCGCAAGAACTTGATAGTATCCACAACAGATGTCTCTAGTGGCTGATATTTCAGCTTCAGAATTTCCGTAGAGCGGCTGTTGTCAAAGCCGTAAAGAGGGGTGGGTTTGTCGGAAGTCAACTCAGCCGGAAGCTTGTCGGCATATTCGGGGAAATTCTTCTTTGCAATCTCCGCGACCTCCTTCATATCAAAGTGACCAGCAGTAATAAAGAAGCGCTTTCCACCTGCTTGGGGCATCTCCATAGCTCTGACGTGGGCAAGAGCGATGTCCCTCACATCAACCCAGAGCCATGCACCAGTCGGAGGCAGCTTTTCCTGCCATCCTCCATGCATCAACATCGCGAAATGAGTGTTTGACGTGTTGAGTGCCGCGCGAGACTCTGGAACATGGATCGGAGGTCCGAAGACATACGGGGGGCAAATAGTTGCAAGAGAAAACCCGGGCTTCTCTTCTTCCATGAAGGACCATGCAGCTCGCTCAGCGAGCGTTTTGCTCGCACGATAGGTCTTGGCACGATCCTCAATTCCTTCCTTGTAGGTCACTGGGTTCCATTGGTTCTCGCTATACACATCGGGGTGTCCGTCTGGGTTAACGAGAGCAGCAAAGGACGATGTAATGACCACTCGGCTCACTGAAGGCGCTTTATCCCTGATTGCGCGAAGAATCCCCTTTGTTCCATGGATAGCAGGGTCAAGCAGCTCCTTGGGGTCCTGGAATTGGAAATGAAAGGGGCTTGCAGTGTGGAGAACTGCATCAAACGGGGGGTCCGAGACGACAACTTTGTCAAATGCGCCTTCCTGGGCAATATCAGGGACAACCACGTAGGAAAGCTGGCCCTTGGAGGATTCCGGATAACTCGAAAGAATTATTTCACCCTTTTCGGCACTCCGCACTGTTGTGACTACAGTATGGTTGCTAGCAAGTAGGGTCTAGGCAATGTGTCAGTTTGTTGGCAAATCCAATTTGCATAGATGAAAATTGTCGGCGAATACCTTAACACAATGAGATGCAATGAATCCAGAGCCACCTAAGTTCAGGAGTTAGCTACTTCTTTCATGAAAAATAGTCATTCAGGAATGCTAACCTGTCACGAGAACCTTCATTTTTCTTAATTTGTCTTCGAAGTATTGTGTGCTCAGTGCGTAAAAGTGAAATTAGTTATCGGAGCGCGGTAATTTCAGGTCATAATAAATTCAACTCTCCAAGGCTTAAATATGTCTTTGTCTACGTTTGTCGGCGAGGGGGGGCGGGTCTAATTTCTTCCCCGTACCAACGTGGGGTCACGTTTTCGGGCTCATCGGCCGATATAGAGAATCTTCCCCACCGGCCGTGGAAATTCGGCCGAAGCGTACCTATTGGCCAGTTTTTACAGAGGATGTACTGGATCCGCATCCACCAACCAATGAACCCTCCTTCTTTCCACATCCATCATTTTTGAACGTATAGTACACATAAGTTGATTTTAAGAGCCGGCGGATTTAAGGTCGTTATATGCGATCTACCAAACTCTTGGCATTTCTATAAAAATAGAAGCGTTGCTCTCCCTTTCACTAGTGTTCCTTACTCTAGTGATAACTCACAACACGTGTGATTTACACCTTTCTTTCATCGTTGATCTCATCGCTAGAAAACATGGATAGCCCACCGAAAGCAGACCGTACACCTCCCAAGGTCATTTTCGGAGCCATGACCATTGGGAAACCAGGTTTGTTGTCAGAAATCCGTTAGAGCGCCTATGGCAATATTAACATGATCTTAAGGCGTTGAAATGACCCGCATTCACACGCTAGATGAGACCAAGGCCGCCCTAGACATGTTCCAAAAATATGGCCATGACATAGTTGATACTGCCCGGGTCTACGGTGGAGGTTCATCGGAAGAGTACCTCGGAGCTTTGAACTGTCCAAGCCGTGGGATCAAACTGGATACCAAGCTCTATCCAACCGCCCTCCGTCCAGCTCTATCACCAGATGAGCTTTATCACCACTCGGTTGACGATCTGCGTCGAGGTCTCCTTTTAAGTCTGAAGGCGCTGAAGGTTGGTAAGGTTGCAACCTGGTATCTTCACGGACCGGATCGGACCGTACCCTTTGAGGACACTCTTCGTGCAGTCAACGAGCTCTACAATGAGGGGCTCTTTGAGAGGTACGGCATTAGTAATTATCAGGCATGGGAGGTGGCGCAGATCTGCGAGCTCTGTGAAAGGAACGGATGGGTCAAACCCGCCGTCTACCAGGGTCTGTACAACGCTTTCCATCGCGCAGTCGAAGCTGAGCTGTTCCCATGCCTGCGTCACTACGGCCTGTCTTTCTACTGCTTTAATCCTCTGGCTGGTGGTTTTTTGACCAGTCGTTATACCCGCGGTATGACCGAATTTGAAGAGGGCTCCCGATTTGACCCGAGGCGCTACCAGGGTAAACTGTCTCGCAACCGCTACTTTGATGACTACTTCTTTGACGCACTGGACATCCTGCGGCCAGTTATCAAGAAGCATGGGCTGAGCGAGGCTGAGTGTGCACTTCGTTGGTTGTCTCATCACTCTCAGCTGGAAGCAGAGAAGGGGGATGGCATCGTTATTGGCGCTAGCAGCCTGAAGCACTTGGAAGAGAATTTAGTGGCTCTTTCCAAGGGGCACCTGCCCGAAGATGTGGTTGAGGCCATTAATCAGGGCTGGGAAGTAGTTCGGGGAAAAGAGCTGAAGTTTTGGCACTGACCAACTATATCTCTGAGAAGACAGATTCACAAGCCTAAAGCTCACCCCCAATCTTTCTAGGTTAGATGGAGTAAGAGTTCGAGAGCTTGAGGATAAGATGAATTGATGTAAGATTGGCTTCAATTGAAGCATAAAATAGCGATTTGTGGTCCAAGCTTGATCTTAGTACATAGCGAATGAGATGGCATTCAGATCGCTGATATAAACATCATACCGAGCCCGAGCCATTCATTTGAGCGATCTGTTGCACCCATGATTCGATGTTGAAATTCGATCCGGTGAAATCTTCGAACATACCCGCAGTTTCAATCTCGCCAGGCTCAACATTAAACAAAGTATTTGATGTCTGGAAGGGCATTGGGTTTCTCGGAGCAGGCTCAGACGGGTATGCGATTCCCAGCTCATTAAAAGGGGCGCTTTTCGTCATTTGGTTGGGATGATGGGCTGTAAAGGTGGGTGCGTGGAACTGGGATTGTGACAAAAGCTGCATTTTGATAGAGCAGCGGTTCAAAATCTGTAAAGCAGAATTTGCCAAAGAAACTCTTTCTTTTACCACTTCAAGGCGGCCTCTAGCCTTCTCAATTGCACGATCGATGCGATATGATATAGCAGGGTCCAAGGGTGAGCATTCGAGGGCAGTGACAGAAAGAAAAATAGAGGCTTCGACCGTGTAAACAGAAAGGGCATAAATATTAGAGTACCGGGTAGCCATGAGGTCGAAGAGACGTTCTTGTGCATCCAATACAGAGAGTGCTGCTTCAATTGCAGCATCACGACTAGCCACATGTGTTTTGGAATGTGGCCTGTGTAGAGCCATGAGAAATGAATGCGCCGCAGTTGCTATTTGCTGGCGCTGTTTAGGAATATGCACATAGGTTGAATCCCAGGACGTGTCCGGGTGTACCGGCCTGTGCACGGGTGGCAAGTTGTCTAGTAAAGATAGGATGCGATCATGAATAGACCTGACCCAGCTATAATCTTTAGTATGGCGTCTGCGAGCACCTAGTGACATGACTTCGTGGGCCTGCTGACAGATGGCGTACTGGAAAAGATGGGGTGTGAAGGATGAGGGAGGCTCATGCAAGTATAATGCTGTTGGAATAGTAATCGATGGATTTGCAGGTATATCGCGATCTAATGGTGGCGTGATCGTACAATCGTTGGTATTGATTGCTCGAGGTCGGCCAAGAGTGAAAGCCATATGGCTAAGTCCATTAGCATACCCCGCGAATACGGGAAGGAGAACCTAACCTATCCCAGGAATATAATTTGATCCATAGTCTCCGCTTGTACTCATCATACCAAAGAAGATCAAGAGTTTCTTCAAGTGGAGATTCTGGTTCTTGGATCACCTTGGCTTGTTGGTGAAGCCCTAAGTCTTGAGCCATTCTATTCATAATTAGCTAGGAAACCTGATTTAGATCCTGTTCACAAAGCAAACCTTATTGCACCACCTAAAACGTGCCATGCTTCTCTCCCACGACTAGAGTTCTTTAGCCACAATGCCCTCATAAGGTCGTTCTGGACGGCAGTAATGGCGGGGTTGTGTCTTCCTAGAACACGCGCAATATCCACCCCCCATGAAGAGAATTCACTAGAGAGACTGTCACGTTGAGTGAAGTTCTCTATCCCTAGAACCTGAAAACAGGGTATGCCCGGTGGCGCGAATTGCAAAGCAACAGCAAGGACCTGACACATCAGGGCCGGGAAAAAGAGAAGATCCCGAGACCACCCTTCGAAATGGGCATTCTCTCTGGAATGATAGCCGCGGGCACACCAGGAACTATAGAGTTTTTCGAAGTAATACTTTTCCAGGACGGCAAAATACCAATTGGCCTCTGAGAAATAAAGTTCGATGAGCTCTCGTGTAATTGCTTGGGAAGGAATCTTTGCATAAAGATCGGAAAGATTGCGCATTGTTTGTGCGGTCAATGATTCGCTGGATGTGGAGTTAAGAGCCTGTAGCTCGCCGTCATCACCCATAAGCTAGTTCAACACCGTTAGCTGTGCATCTATTCCAAGGGGTAGGACACCAAACCGACTTCAAACAGTTCCGATAGTGTGTCTTGCTCAGTGGACCGACCATATCCAATTTGATTCCGGATTGATTGGTTTTTAAGCATCATTGAGGGCTGGTCATCATTGATTCTTAAAGGTGGAGGTTGCAGGGCTAGTTGATCTGCCCTAAACATTGATCCGTCGTCGGAGCTAGTGGGGAAGTAATGCTTAGAAGACGCTGGACGTCCATGTATGTGACAAAGATAATGCTAGGTAACTGTCTAGCCCGTACCTTTCTGGATATTCATATGTACACTTATCCGGGACATTCCTTCCTGCGCACATGTTGCATGGCCTTTCGCGGTCGCACTATCAATCAGTTAGCACTAATAAACGCCACTCAACACGAGGAGCTGATTGCGGGCACCTTTTGTTTTCGTCGACGGCATTCTGTGCATGCCGTTACGGGGCGTTTGCGACTTATGAAGAATGTCTGCATGGTATGAATCAACTGTAGCGATCAAATGTCTGAAGTGTAGAAACAAGAAATCTGGAGAGACTGGCGAAGAGAGACATGTGTGACGCGCCCGCAGGTTACAGATCCGCCGGGTCACTTATTTCAGGTTACAGGTCAAATACTGTTAGGCCTGTCTGAATGCCAAGATGGACATTAACTAGTCATGTGACCATGGTTTGACGGCACATTGCACGTACCATAGGTGGACCGTTCAGTGTGCCAAGATGTGTGGGGCGTCCATGTCAGCTTTCTGAAAGTCCACTTATTTCGGTCGCTTGCACCGAAGATGGGTTCGTAAGCAGGTGAGTCACGTGATGTTCAAGCGAGCTTGTTACCCACATAGAACATACTCTGAGTAGATTTTGTGCCAGCTTACCTTTTTTATTACACTTCCCCTCACCGCTGTCACCACCACCAATCAGTTTTCACCCCGTTTTCTGCAACCATAAGCGTCACTCTCTGAGAATATTAGTATAACTTAGTACATATCTCAACTACCACGACAAAATGCTTCATACAATATACACATACTCTATATTCCCACTCGCCCTCTGGTCATCACTTCACCATTGAATCAGTCCTGCTCCCATCGTCACTCCAAGTCTCCAACCCCATCACCTCCCATAAACCCACCACGCCCCCACCAACCCCATCACAGCAAAGACCACAGCCCATCGCACCAACCCCCGCTTAATATGATAAGCAGCCACGCGATCGATCGCTTTAGAATCATTAATTCTCGGGAAAGGAATATCCTTGGGAACCTCCTTGCCCAGAGCCCGACACAGTGGCTCCCACCCCTCCTTAACACTAAAAAACACCAACTGATCCGCGGGCACCACCTCCTTCAGCCACTCAAGATGCCGGTCATAGATCCAGGCGTTATCGCGGCTATTCTTGTAGATCCGATCCCACTGTCGCTGCAGCAGGTCGATATATGTCACAAAGTACCGCATCCCAGGTAAGGGGAGCAAAACCGCCCTTAAAAACCACAGCTTGGCCAGGGAGCTGATCTGCTGCATGCTCTGCACCCAGCTGTCGCGATCACGCACGGTCACGATCACTTTGGCATTGGGATAGAGCTCGAGAAGTTCGGGGACAAATTGGCTGGCCGGGGCGTCGGTGATCGCGCTGTAGCCGGCGGTGCGGGCACGCAGCAGCTGCAGGGTTTGGAGCTTATTGCCCGCGAGCCAGGTGCGCAGGATGGTGTTCCACGATTGGATCTCAAGGGGGGGTCCCATGGTGGTTTGCGTGCCCCCGTGGTAGACGGGAGCGTCCAGGAGGATTTCTAGGGCTGCAGTGAAGGATGCGGTTCCTGTGCGGGAGAGCCCGGCCCCGATCACCTGCAGGTCAGTGCCGGGGCGGGGGACGGACGCTTGTTGGCCCATGTTGGATTCAATTAGGACGTAGAAGGTAATAAAGATTGTGTTCGATGTTGAAGTTAGGGTGGAGGAGAACCTGGGTTTAAATGAATGCCCTGAGGTGACTCTCGTTGGAGATGAAGTGATGATGGGGCAGTGCTGGAACAGGGCTAGTTAGTGCTGACCGTCACGGCAGGATATAAATGTAGTTAGAGAGTGACACCTCATATATACTTACTAGATACGTGGGTAACACGGTAACTTATTTGACATTACGTATAGTACGTGTTGTCATTTATGTACAGTCATGCATTACTAAGCCGCATTCCATAGTCAAGTTATCTTCTATCCATACGACTTCACACCAACTACCCTCCACTGCACACCTACGCGATGACCTGCAACCGACTCGGCAACATGACATCCAGGGCCTTGTGTTGCGTCTCCTCCTTATGCTCCTCCTCCACTGACAGTAGACACAGCCGGAGCACCCGCGGCCCCCAGCGATGGAATTGCGGCGCTCCCAACGCGGCCACGCAATAGGTCAGGGACAGCAATCGCGAGCCGTAGCTGACTTTCTCGATCCAATGATCCTGAGCAAGGGTCCAGGTGCCTTTGTGGCTCTGCAGGTGCCGGGTGGCCTCTACAATGGCCGTGTCGATTCTCTCCCCCGACGGAAGGCTCCACGGCAGCGTATACCCGGTGACTTCCGCCGACGCAGCATCGCCCGTGATCTCTGCTGCGTGCGGCGTCTGAAGCAGCTGCACCGTGATCTCTGCGAGCACCCGCAGAATCCCCTGGTGACCCATCAGCTCCGGCAGGATCTCCGGCAGGTCGCCGTGGTCCCACCGTTTCAAGGCCAGTACCAGTGCCTCGGTGAGCAGCATCATCGAGTACTGCGGGCGCAGATTCTAGCACCCAAAAGTCAATATCAATGTAAGAAATCTCAGTATAACACGAGGGAAACTTACCCATTTGTCAGTCAATCCCCCTCGATGCCACCGCTGGCACAAATACCGGAGCACCTTAGAGATCTGTGGCTGGTGGCGAGCCGGATTGCTCGATGTCAGCAACGCCTTGAGAACGTTGCAGTTGGCGCTGAACGAATCCGTCACTTCCAGATCGTAGGTCTTGAAATGTGCCTCATCCTCAAACACCTCGATCATGCGGTCACAGCTCGTCTGGCGGCCCGTGCTGTTGAGAAGGAAGATGCACTTGGCCGTGTCGTCAGCGTCGGGGACCACCCCGGGGGCTGGCAAGGTTATAGTAAGTATAAGGTCATGGAGGAGCGTGGTTTTGCGGGTCGAGTAGAGCATCGAGGGGTGGAAGCGAGCCATCTTGCGCGCGTTCAGCTGCATCAACGCCGCGTGGCCGGGAAAACTGGCGCGAAGGTCGATGCCCCCGTCGGCTTCGAGGAGATCGAGGAGGCAGGGAATGAGAATTTCGAAGCCGACGTGATCGGTGGCAAGGACGGCCTCGTTGTCCCAGGTGGAGAGGGCGGAGTGAAGGTAGCGGATGCTCCGGTCGATGCGTTCTTGTAGGTCTGATGGCGAGCTGGAGGGGGGCGTGACGGTAGGATTGTGCGCGTGTTTGCTCAGAGCAAGCACCGCTGCCATTGCGGTCATCACTTCGTCCACGCGACTGGCGCGCGAGGAGCCAAAGCCCCCGTCGATCGATTGGCTGTCCAGCACAGCCTGGAAGCATTCGGGGAAGAGCCATTGTGAGTGCAGTTGCGGGGCTGCGTCGCTATGGTCATTGAAGACGCCCTCTGGTTTGATGATCATGGCTAGCCAGGCTGTATCGTAAATACACGGGGTCATCGAGCTGGATCCATGGTAGGGAGTGTCGAGGGAGGTGGTGAGGTACTCCATGATGGAGTTCACCTTGTTCTGCAGTTTGAGATCCTGCATCATGACTAATGAGATTTACAACAGCAAGAAGGGGAGTAAGCGATGGAGGAGAAAGCTAAGGTTCCGATTGAGGACTTAAGTCTGGGAGCTGGTGGGCTAAATATCTATTACTCTAGCAGTGATGCATATCGCAGAACGCCCTGAACAAGATGTACTATTGTCTGCACACTTAGAGACTAATTCATCCTTCGAACAAATGAACTTAAGGGGCAACTCCTGACCGTTTACGCCGGTCTAAGCCCTGCTCACAGATGAATCGACGCGGCCCTCGTAAAGCAAGGCATTGCACTCCAGCCATTCTCCTCGGAACTGCCGACAACAAACGAGGAATCTTTTGGGGGCTGATAGGATTGAGGAGCCGAAACTGTCAGTGCGTCTTCCAGCATTGACCAGCGAGCTTATTGAGCCATCTGATAGGAATGACTCGTGTTGTGCTTACGCTTAGCGCTACTATCAAAGGTGGGCTAATGGACTGGGGGCCAGAATAGCTTCTACATATGCCTAAGTGGATTGATACACTAGCCTACCATACGTCCGTAAGCGGTTTGTAATTAAAATTACTGACACCAGGGACTAGATCCAAAATGCATGCTATGTACCGTACATACAATACGGCAGACGAGTTCCAGACGGCAGCAGCCCCAAACCGCACGCATGATTCGATTAGGCGGCTAGGTTTTATCTCATTCGTCTCAAAGTCATCACTTGAGAAGGTCAACGCGAGGCTTGATCCACAACATCAACGGCTGCTTCTCGACCATCATCATCGTGGGGAAATCGTCAAAGCACACCGCCATGCTCGGCTCCTCACGCAGATCAGATGCCCACAGCGTGCGCGTCAGAATCAACCGCATCTCCAGCCACGCCAGCGGCCGGCCCAGACACACGTGGAAGCCCACGCTGAAGGGCTTGGAGACGGACAGCCGGTCGTGGGCATACTCTGCCGGACGTCCTTCGCTCTCCGACAGCCACCGCTCAGGGACGAAGGTCTCCGGGTTATAGAAGTACTTGCTGGAACGGTTGACCGAGAAAGTGCGGACTCCATTCCGGGTCTGGATCGGAGAATGAGTTAGGATTGGGTTTGGAAGATAAATAATGTATGAGGGGAAACACAGAGGGTACTCACGCCTGCTGGAAGATCAATCCCAGCATATTCATCGCCTCCTGGGGGCACCATACGCGGTAGTCCGGCCGGTACAGGATTTGCCATGCGGAGCCCTTCTTGGAAGACGGCGTCGAGGTATGGGAGCTGAACGGCATTAATTTTCTCCAGAGTGATTTGCTGCTCGGTCTCGTAGGCCTCCCGAATCTCGTGGGTCAGTCGGTCGAGAATGGCTTTGTTTGCGGGCTTGCAGAGGTGGTTGAAGATGCCCGTCATTGACGTCGCGGTGGTTTCGGAGCCTCCGACGATGATAAACGTAAACGAAGATAGAATCTCATCGCGGGACATCGACTCGAAGTTGGGATTCCGCTTCATGAAGGGGGTCATGAAATCGGGTCGGTCCGTCTGCGAGTCGAGCCGGCGGTTGATGCACGGCCAATATCGCGGCGCAGCAGCGATGGTCATCCCCTTGAGGAAGAAGAACAAGGTGCGAACCCAGTCATGATACTCCCCCTTGGCGAGACAGCCGAAGGGCTCCCCAAAGGCAAGATCGCCAATCACATCCATCGTGAAGAAATTCAGCCAGTTTGTGAGATTCACGAGCCCATAGCTCTCCCCCCCACCGGCTTCCTTGGTCGCAAGTCGGCGCAACTGGTCGATGAAGACATCCGCATGCCCCTGGACCAGCGGGGCCTGCTCGCGCAACGCATTTTCGGTGAAGCTGTGGCTCATCAGTCCGCGCACGCGGGCGTGAGACTTGACATTGCTGGTGGTAATGATGTTATCCGCGATACCTTCGGGGGCTTTCATGAAGATCGGTTTGCGAATGGCGCGCTTGTGGCCCGGTCGCCAGGCGTAGATATCGTGCCAGGCCTCTTCGCTGGCAAAGGAGATCTCGTCGGGCGCCATGCGGAAGTAGGGACCATCTTGTTCGTGCAGCTCGCGCTGGCGTTTGACCAGCGAGCCTGCAAGCAGGTTGTAGACGAAGGGAATTCGCGAGGCTGCCCAAAGACGCGGCCCGGGATGTTTGGCCAGCGGATGGAAGTATAGATTGTAAATGATTTGGTAGAGTGGGTAGACCAGCAGACAAGCGACGACGACCGCGATCTGAGTCGGGGTCTTTGAAACGGATTATATATCCGGTTTTGTAGTTCCAATCCCTGCTACCTGTACCCTGTGGGTAGATGGTGCGTTCAGTAAGGCGGTCCTGATTCAGTTGTTTACAGACATCGTAGGGAGGTAACAGCCAGATTAACTAGTATTTATACTGTATATACCGGTTGTATTAGTTGGCAACAGTTAAATACTAATTTAGATACAGTTTTTATTCTTTTTAGTATATTGGTTTTTACTTGGTTTGCAGTTGTTTGTATCCGCTGCTACAGCGGCCTATAATTATATTAGATTTAGTATATTAAATTTTTTAATTCAAGTTTCAAGTACTTGGATTTTGTCTTACAGTTTTTCTAAATTTATAGTTTTTTTTTTAATTATGTTTTACTTTTTTTCAGCTTGTTTCTGGTGGTATTACAGATATTTAATAATCTGTCGGATTTTCTTGTTGGTCACAGAGTGTATTAGTTCCGGTGGTGCTTGGTTTGATCTTAGTCCGGTTAGTTGCCTGCGCGTGTTTGTCTAATTATCGTGCGTGTGGTTGTTGATTCAGAGTTTTCCAGCGCGTCATTCCCCGTTGTTCCCGGTGCGGTCGTGTTCTCAGGGGGGCGGGCTCGGGAGCACCCGAGGGTGGGTCCGCCATCGGGATAATTCAGCACACAACAGAAGTTGAATCAGATCTCGACCTCATACAATCTGGGCCCATTCTTTTGTAAGTCATTGAGCTAGGCTGTACATTTTGGTACACTGCGGTTAATTCGCCCCTCAAAATTCAGCCGATACTCTTAATATCTATTGTTGATGTCCTAGGTTGCGTACAAGAACGGCGACATTAAGAAACTGCAGGGTAATTTTATCAAGAAGCATAATGTCCGTGATGAACTACTTGGTGAGCAAAATAATCCTGAATGAGCCAACATATTGCAGAGGTTTATTGTATCTTTAATGTCTGAAAAACTGGAATACCATTCCGAAGTTGCGGTTCAAGAAGATCCAGGCCGTTGACGGATACTTTTGCAACCGCCCCGCCTCCCCGGCGATAATGTGATAAGATTTTTGAGAAGCGAACGGCCACGCTGATTCGGGGTCTACTAGTCTAGAAAAGCAAAACACTATGACAAGAGAAATAGTAGAAATGTAAAAGCCACAACGACTAGTCGCATTGTGATCTCCGACGTCTTCAGTGTAGCGAAAAATTGAACCAGTTGACACCTGATCTCTTCGCTCTCTCAAAGCTCGCTTTCTGATATTTATCACTCTTATCATACCGTGTAGCATAGCCATGGGATACTCCAGGGAAATATACATAATCCTATGGCAGATTATTTCCCGGAATGCCACGATTGCAGTAGTTCTTGAGCTCCGGTGTCAGGTGATGGTCATGCTCAGGAGCAAGTATTTGGGTAGGCACGCCCAGTGAAAGGATCTCTTGCTTATCGATGAACGAAGGGTGGGCAGTTGAAACACAGTGAAGTAGGTTTCGGCCGCGTGCAGCAAGTTGAAAAACTGCCCAGCCGCCGTAGCAAAAGCCAATAGCTCCCACTTTTTCATATTGCTTTTTCAGCGCAGTTGCACATTTCAAGATTTCGGGGAATCTAATGGTCTTCGAATGTCGCTCCATAAACGCCACAGTGTCGAATGCCGCCCTGGTTTTAGGGTTGTCCATCATCTCGGCCGTGATCACCTCTCCTCCAAAACTGCATGCAGGGGTTTATATGCTTCAACATTGAGTCACTCGTATAGGGTTGGCGAACTTACAAGTCGGGGAAATACACGGTCGCGTTGACCTCTTCTGCGTAAAAGTCGGCTATCAGTCTGGAATTCGGGAACTTCCACCCGAAGATGTCGACTTCGAATTTCCCACAACATAGGATTTGTTGCCGGCGAGACTGGTTTCAAAGCCAACATGATCACCTTCCAGACGTGATCTAGGCTCGCAACAACCGGGGTCCATGCTGGATTACACGGCCGTCTTTCGAACAGTGTGACCAAAAGAGAAACGAAAGGGTGATAAGAAATGCCAGAAAGAAGGTATCGACGAGTCCAAAAGCAAAAGCATATGGCTTTCGCATTGAATATGACCTTCCCAGATAAGACGCAGTCACTGATACCCTCTTTATTAGACTTTATTCCTTATATAGATCAGCTTTGGAATTCCATCGAAGCGCGTTCATTACCTCGCTATGACCCGCACAATCTCATACTTGCACTAGGCTGTTGGATAAGGAAACGGCATGGATTTCGCGAATTCATTGTTTGGAACGAAACGTGATTGGAACCCATGCCTTGCCATATGGAGCCATTTGCCCCTGGACAAATGAGTAACAATGCAGAAAGGGTCCGATCGACTCTGAATTCCGTGGCCTGCAGTTGGATGACATGCCTTTTATTATTGGCCGCGGATGTGGAGAATGAGATAATTAGCTGTCAGCCATCTGCATTACTTTGAAACCTGATGAATAGCCAATGATAAATGGCTCATACACAGTTTATGTTATCCTGATGCCTTGAAAGGACAAGATCGCAACCGATCATCTCGCCCGATGACATGCATGCATTTCTCCTTAAAAACACGGTTTTCTTTGTCTGCCAATTTAGTCATCATCTGTGGCAGTGCGTCCCACTCCCGCCGTGCAGGGCAGCGCAGGCAATGTAATGTTGCGGGTATCCTATGATGTTATTCAGGAGGCTGAAACTCATGAGAGCAGACCGACTATTGTAAGGGCACAGTTTGTTTCTACAGTAATGCACGTTTTGTGGCGCACGATGCCAAGCCTAATCAGTAGATGTTGGGCGCCAACCCGACATTTAGCCGAACTAGCAGCATACCGTTCGTTTATAGCATTCCTGAACCCACTTGTCATATGCCTGCATACTTCTGCATGACCTAAACAAGGGAATTTGCACAGCCATTCTGAGTAGAGTATGTGATGCTTAAAGTTCATTCCTTGTTTAGACCTAGCTGCTTCGAAAGATCCTCCCCGCCCACAGGATATGGGTTGATTAGGATCATCGCATAAATTGGCTTGGCATCCGGAGAACCTCATGTTTTGAATCACAGGCATGACATGGTTGCCAAGGGACTATGTGGCAAAGGAAAACGCGCTTCGGAACTGGGGACGCAAATGGTGCTCTAAAAAAGCCGGTCTTTTCCTGAGTAGCAAAAGCAAGGTATCTAAAAACAAATTGCACATTTCAGCTCACTCACGTAGCTTACTGGCGTCGTTCTACCATGACTCGAATTTGAAAGATCTTGGTCTTCGTAGGTGGCGCAATATCAAACTACCTCAGTTAAATGATAAAGATGCGCTCAATCGTCTTATGTGGGCGCAGCGATTTCGCCATTATAAACCAGAAGCTTGGTCATGGGCCAGCTTTTCTGATGAAAACTCAAATTGAGCGTGGTTCTGGTGCTGGTGCTGAATGGAGCTTTGTACGACCGAAGTATCAACCTCGCGAAGGCGAGATTTAAGAAAAGCCATGTGGAAAACAGCTTCAGCAGATGTTCTGGGCCTATTTCAATGGTGATACTCGACGAACTGGCCCAATTCCTATGCAGAGAGATCGTACTTCGTCATGCGGTAGTGTAACTTCGACAGTTGTACGGTCAACCTATTCAACCTACCTTCCACCGATTCTATCGAATCGATCTAATGCGAATATTATACATGATATTGTAACGCATCAACACACACTACGTATATCAGTCTGGTTGTTTTGATTAATTAAATCAATATCACCGGCAAAAAATTATGTAAGAAAGTTGAGGTCTATGCAAACTTCGTGAGGGCACTGTACATGTCTGCGTCAGGCCAGCTCGTTGGTGGCATCAGCGCGAACGGGAAAGGCTGCGCGCTTGGGTGTGCCACTCAGTGAGCTAGGAAATGTCTAAATAGCATCTACATCTCGCATAGGGAATTTGCAATCATAGTGTCGGGATAATGCGGGAGAATATACAGCTCCTAGCTACTGCAGCGCGCAATTTGGTGCTGGCGGTCCTTGTTGTTACTCAGAGGAAAGGTGATTCTTATCTTGATCTAGATATAATAAAGCAGGCTACATATATGGCCTTAAGTTCAAATTGAAATCACTTTGGGTCTTTGTATATATCACAGGATTTGTTTTCTGATTGTATGGGTTTTTCTCAATTTGCATCAGCCTTATGTTACAGCATGGAAGAAACACATGTGGTGCAATATTTACAGGAAAATCATATTGCTATGTTCCACAGTATTGCAAATAGTAAGCAAGAAAAGAGCTCACACCTAGGAGTGGTTAAATGTTGAGCTGCAGTTGAAGCAGACGATGTGGTTGGAGACACTGCGGAAAACGACGTCACCGCATCGGGAAGCACTTTGGTGCAGTCGGTCAGTTGATTGATGTTATTAACACCAAGGAGGCTGAGGCGCACATATGCCGCAGCATATTGTACATTCCAGACTGTTTGGCCAAAGGTCTCATCCTGAAGGGGTATTAGTGAAAAAATAAAACAATGTGGACACCAACTAACCGTAAATGCTTGAAAACGCGACGAGGTGCCGGGGGCCTGAGAAAGCGCTGAGTCGCTTGGAAGTCGAAAAATACCTCTGTTTTATTGTAACATATTAGATCAAAGTTATAGATGCTTTAACCTAAGGAGTCTCACCGGGGCGGATCGGACAATGCCATCTCACGGTAAAAGTTCATATCCCATACTCCGGGTGTTGAATCAAGCGGCTGACCTGCCCGAGAAGGATCAACATAGAACTGCTGAGCAACAGTATGCGCTCCGAGGAGTGCGGCAAGATCGCGAGCCGTAATGGTTTTGTTCTCGAAAAGTTCTATCAGGAAAGTTGGATCGGACGCGTTGTTGCTTGGTATGAGGCCAGGAGGGTTTGCTTCATCATGATCATGGCGTCCGATCAAAGTCAACAACCTGGGACCTAAAGGACAGGTCACTGTGGCGACATTATGCATGAACTGCACCAGATCGGCAGCCCCAATACCATACTTTGAATATTTCTTTAGCAGCTGCAGTGCCTCGATTCGAACATCTTGAAGGCCATCGTTCTCTGGTCGCTGGATCTCATCAGGACTTAGGAGAAAGCTACCATCAGCGCCACCCGTGCTGCTTGTTCTCGACCATGCTCCTGCATCATGAAATCCGAGTCTCACTGATGCTCGAGCAAGACCATTGCAGGTGCCATTTTCATTTCGAAATAGCTCGACCAGCTCTTGCTGTAAAAAGTCCCAAGCGCAACATAAGTCAGCCTGGCAATTAGCGCTTCCCAGGTCGCCAGGGCGCTCATAGTTCTTCCGCCGTTAATTAAAAGCAGTAGACACAAAAGGAAGAGTGGGAAAACCTTTCTCTCCTGGTATTCACATGATCCCACCCCCGTGATACAATCGCGCACTCGTCTTCCAACTGTGGTGGAAGCACCATCCACCAGATCTCCAATCAAGTCGCTTGTTGTAGGGTTTGATTGTCGGCGTTCTATGTCATTTAAAAGGGTCGCCATGCCACGAAATCCCAACGCGATCATGGGAAATAAGAAGAAGAAGGACAAACATCTCATGTTGCCTCCTGAAGAAGAGATGAAAGTAATGCGACTTACACTTAGTGACAAGGCTCTGGAATTATACTCTTATAAGCCACGTCGGCATTGCCGGTATTCCGGTACTGCTGCTGTGTAGATACATCGCATCTGATGGCTCAGCAGCTCCTGTGGAAAACGCCAAGGTTTCTAACTTGCCTATTGAGTAGGCGAATGCCAGGGCTGAAGACCTAAAGTATACATATATCACGATAGATGCTCATCTTTTGAAGAGGGCCTGCCGTATTGAAGATCATTTATAGAGCCTTGGCACATTGCTTCCCCTCGAAGATGCCTCGGAGAGTGCATTGAGGAATAATGAGAATGGTGACAGTCAATACTGGGTGGAGTAATTGAGGTTATCGCGATGGGTATTCAAACCAAGGAACTCACCAATGAACATTCGGGTGTCATCAATCTACTTCACCAAAGGTACTTATTTCGGGGTCTCGGTTTATATGGCCAAAAAAAACGGGTACGGGCCCTCATCCATCAGAAAAAGCCACAGTAAGACCGCGGCTTTCTTTCTGGTCGTACTAATGATCCCATATCGCAGCACAATGCTTACAATAGCCTTGTAGATGTTTGAGCCCAGCCATTGAAAGAAATTCAAGATGTTATGTGGGAATTGTTCCGGGCTTGGCATTGGCGACATTTGCTCTGCGGTAAGGTCATTGCCGACGAAGGAAAATCAAGTCGGGACTTAAGAACTTATTTCCTATCGCCTGGTACGGAAATCGACCGATGAATTCCTTGAAATGCACTTGAGATGTGTACTTCTAAAATGCACTATGAAGTGTATGATTAAAGGGTTTGAGTGTGATGACTCAGCAGTTGATGCTTGAGGAATAAGAATAACGCGATGTTAAATAAAATGCAAGAAACACCGAGTAAAATGATTCTTCACTTTCTCAGACATTTGTGAATTACATGACTAAGCTTGTTTCGCATCGAGGTTCGATCCAAGATATTGACCAATCAGGTTGTTTTGTCATCATCTTGCATGAGGTAATGCCGGCTTCTTCAATCTACAACGCTTCCGGAGAATCTGGAGACGCGGAAGTTATAAGTAGGGAGGGGTATCATCCTTTCTTCAAATTCAAAATCCAAATTTCAAAACTTGCCTTTTTTTGTTTACCTTTCTTCAGCCACTTCGGACAAAAATGAAGTACGTGCAACTTGGAAGTAGCGGTCTTCGTATCGCCCCAATTGGTGTGGGATGCATGAGTTTTGGAAACCCCGACGGCCGTTACAAGTGGTCGGTCCCAGAAGAAGATGCATTGCCCGTGCTTGATCACTGCTACAGATCCGGTCTGAATTTCTTCGACACAGCAAACACCTATTCCAATGGCTTGTCTGAGGAAATTCTTGGCAAGGCGATCAAGAAGTACGGATGGTGCCGAGAAAACATTGTCATCGCCACCAAGGTTTGGGCACCAGTTGGCCGCGGTCTCGAACAGCCAATTGCTATGACGGATGACGAAAAGGATGACGCCGGCTACGTGAACCAATACGGATTGAGTCGGAAGCATATCTTCGAGAGCATCGATGCAAGCCTGCAAAGACTAGGTCTGCCCTATGTCGATCTGCTGCAGATCCACCGTTTCGACCCTAGAACTCCCGTAAGGGAAACAATGGAGGCGCTTCACGATATTGTCAAATCCGGCAAAGTGCGCTATATCGGTGCTTCTTCGATGTGGGCTCATCAGCTCCTTGAGTATCAGTACACCGCTCGCATCCACGGCTTGACGGAGTTCATCTCTATGCAGAATCTTCACAATGCTATCTACAGAGAGGATGAGAGGGAGATTTACCCTGCATGTGCCAAATTTGGAATGGGTGGGATTCCTTGGAGCCCCGTTGCAATGGGCTTCTTAGCTCGACCCTGGCGTGACTTCTCAAAAACCACACGTGGAGAGGGTCAATCCTCTGGCTTCCTCGGTCAACACGCTACAGAGGCAGACAAGAAGATTAACGAGCAGATTGAGAAGCTTGCTGAGCAGCATGGTGTGTCGATGGCGACTGTGGCAATTGCTTGGTCGCTTTCCAAGCCATTTATTACAGCGCCGATTCTTGGAATGAGTAAGAAAGAAAGAGTTGATGAAGCAGTCAAGGCTATCTCTTTCAAGCTCAGTCCCGCCGAATTAAAGAGCATTGATGACCTATATGAGCCGAAGAAGGTGCTTGGTCATCAATAAAGATTCTGTACTTGGAATTGCAGCTAGGAACCCAAGTTTTCCAACCGACAAAATAGTCACTATTGTTGATCCTTTCACAGTCCCAAAATCACCTGTATCTATTGCAGTTTTATGACTTGATTGTCTGCCATAGACAGAAATTTATTCAGAGGCCCAGGAAGACTGGGGAAGAATCCACAGAGAGTAAGCAGGAGTAGTTAACGTAATTTACGGTCCAGCAAGCCACACGGTGGTGCGGGCCACCCTGAAATGCCATACTAAACACTATATTTTAATTCCGCTATACTTTAATCATCATTCATCTACTTAGCTAATCTTTTGGGATATTCTTTTGACTATCTGTATAGGGATAACATTTGTACGACATTCTTAGCCTTTTGGGTGTATATACCTACGTTACCATAAAACACAGTGTATTTTTCATTTTTCAGACTTAAATGTATATATATATCCCAACCCTTGGTTCAACCATTTTTTACGGTATCAACTGGTTATTCTTACACCATAATCTATGTATTGTTGATATTTCATCTTGAATTCAATGGGTTGTTGAGATATGAAGTTGTATTTTGTCGCATTTAGTATGGTGTTTTGGGATGGCCCGTAAAGCTGGTGAATTATGTTATTTAGCCGATAAAGGGAGCTGACTAAACCCAGAGCAAGACACACCAAGCAGAGCACCTGCACGGACATCCAGTAAGCGTAGCCGGAAATCTCTTCAGGAAGTTGTAAAACAACAAGTATACAGTTAACCCTGAGTTGAACCCCCTAGTTTAAGCTTCGCGTACAGAACGAAATCATGAATATTAAGAATTGTATGTAATCAATGGAGAATCCCTAGGTACACTGAAAAAAGCTATTTCCAGCGTACTCAGAAAGGCGGAATTTCAATTTTGCCGTTCCGCTGTGTGTAATGAGAACGATTCCTGGTTACGTTTCGGCCGAGATCGTCATGACCCACTTTATCTTAAAGCGTTATCACGATAAGACTAACATCATGCAGGCGGATGACATGGTGGGTCCAGAGTACCTTAAGGAAGATGTACAATTGGCTTTCAAATATGGATACGAAATGAATAATCAAGGCTGGTCCACTCAGATATGATTAACGGCCTTAGTACCCCACACAAGATCAAAAACGTGTGTCGATTAGTAGAGGCTCCAAAATTGCCTGGACCAAAGGACTCAGTATAAGCCCCCCATTCATCGATTTGTTAGCAAGCATCTTCTTAGCGCTCTATATTCTTAACGGTTAAGGAATATCCAGCATCATACATCATATTCAAATGGTGCCACTCAAACAAACAACTTATAATATTATAAGACGTTCAGTCGATCACAAACAGTGAGTGGGTATGCTATCAATGGATTTCGTGTCATAATTAGATATTATATGCAAAGGCATTTTATGATGCTCAAGTAGTTTTCCCTGTAATTAGAAATATGAAATGCGTCATGATGATCATAACCTCTAAAAGTGGAGGAATCTTAAAATGATGTTGAATTACAAGCGGTAGGATTGGTTCTTGTAATGACTATCCATCTTAAAAGAATGTCTTGGCATTCAATGTGTCGACATGATTTCTTAGTATTATGATCAATTATACTAAATTCAAGATCTATCCATGATCGCCTCTAACAGACGAACCGCCGGGGTCGCTTTTTCTCTATGGATATGACTTTCTTGAGGGCCACGAATAAAATAAATTGATGTCATCTAAGTGAACAGAAAAGGTTCTCTACCAGTAGCATGTCAAAACAGTTATTACGAAGCATTTACAACTTGATTGGTAAGAGGTGGAAGAGGACAGGGAAGATGGAAAGGAAAAATGTAAAAGCATTGGGCTCTTTTAAACTGTTAGCCTTCGCACTTCTCCTAGTTTCGACAGGACATCGAACTTTTCTTGTATCCTAAACCTCGAGCACAAGGAGCAATGTTTGTTTTAAAAATTCTGTTTTTCTGTTATATTTGCGGATTAATAGTACGTCATTGTGCGGCAATGGGCATGCCAAAGTTTGCAACAGTATTGATGAACTTGATCTGAGACTAACGGGACACAGATCTAGTAGGCTCTCCAAAGCTTCAACAAACATTAATCTCCGCACACTGGAATGCAGATATGAAAGCAGTGATTCATTGTCAGAGCGGATGACATACCAGCTAATGTGACCAGTTCTATATCCAGATTCACCACCATTCAGTTGCGACCAGGCCTTGTAGATAGGTGAGAATCTCTCCCTTGTTGGCTTGGCAGCGTCAACAATCTTTCATATCTCCTTTAGCTCCTCCTACAACAGGTCGATATCACGGGATTCCCAGTTCTCTGCCAGACGTGAGGCTTTGGTCGTTCCTGGTATAATATTAAAAAAAACTGTAGAAAAATGTCATGGGTAATCCCCAAGGGTATGGTGAACCACCAACGGCTTGCCCACATATCCCTGACAGAGGAGTTATAACATCAACAATTAAAAACCCCCTCCAGTATTTAACTTCTAGAATCTTACTATACCTTTAGAATAGCAAGGATTAGTTTTAAAATTAATAAACTGCTACTATTCTATATCTAACTAATCTATTTTTTTTAATAATTCTAATCTTTTCTTTTTAGTTATTTATAGGATACAGTATGTTACAGTAATTATTATAATCTAATAGTAGTTTAAAGTCGGAAACTTTTTCTACTACTAATAGTTTATTATTTTTATTACTAGACTTTTTAGTAGAGGATCTTACTGCAGTTAGAGATACTATTAGCTGATTATAAAATTATTAATAGTTATAAAAATAAGTTACTAAACTATAATAAAAAATCTAATATAATAATATTAGAATTAAAATTAATCTAGTAATAGAAAACTTTTTTACCCTTAAGCAAATCTAAAACAAATGTTAAAATTAAAAATATTCTGTAATTTAAACTCTTTTTTAATATTTAAAAATGTTAGGAGTAGTTTTATAATCTAAATTATAATTTTTAGAAAGTATTATTTAAATTTTATAATAATTATTATAAAAATTTTAAAACTGTAAGCTATATAAATATAATCTGTTAGTAAAAATAGTACTATTATTTTAATAAATTATTACTAAAATATAAAAAAAATATTAGCTATTTATAGCCTGCCTTTTCTAAATAAATATTTTTTTTTATTGAAAATACTGCTATTTTTAAATCTAATATAATAAGCCAGCTAAAATGAATATAGTAGTAAAATAATTAAAATTTTTATAAATACTATACTTATCTTATTACTTTAGAGTAATATTTTTTTAAAGCTACTAAAAAAAACACAGCTATATTTTCTTTGTAAAATTACTTTCTGATTTTAGTTATTATATTAAAAAATATATATATTAGCTGTCTAAAAAATAAAATAATATAATATTTTTTATTATTTATTATTAGAACCTATATATATAACAGTAAAAATATAAACAGGAATTTAATATATCTAATATATTTTAAAAATATCTGTTACAGGACGAATGGATTGTGCTAATCAAAACATGCCTTAGAATAAGAAGAAATAGCTGAAGAGCTATTTTGTCTGTTTGTACAAAATTTCTTTATATATATACTAAGCTAGTACTAGTTTAGTACTTAGTATACAAGGCCTTAAATATTAACTAGTATCTAAAGCTGAGCTTTATAATAGGATTTTAATTCTATAACAGAAGCCCTTTTTTTTTTAGTATCTTCTACAGCTTTTATTTATATAAACAGCTGTTTAAAGTCCAAAACAATAGTTCTATACTTTAGTTTTTTTTAAATAATATTATAGCTGGTTAGTAGATAGTATATATATAGATAAGACCTATATTATTTATTATAGCTTTTTTTTTTATACAAACCTTTTTTATCCAGTAAATATAGTAATCCCTTAGTAAATAAAATCTTTTTTTTTTATATATTCTTTTTTTATCCAGTAAATAGAATCTTCTTTTATACTATTTATATAACCGGTTCTAAAGGTGTGGTCAGTGTTACAGGACGGATGGATTGTGCTAATCGAAATGTGCCTTAGAATAAGAAGAAATAGCTGAGGAGCTATTTTATCTGTTTATATAAAATTTTTTTATATGTGTGCTAAGCTAGTGCTAGTTTAATACTTAGTATATAAAGCCTTAGATATTAATTAGTATCTAAAGCTAAGCTTTATAACAGGGCCTTAGTCTTATAATAGAAGCTCTTTTTTTTTCTTTTTAGTATCTTCTGCAGCTTTTATTTATATAAACAGCTGTTTAGAGTCTAAAGTAATAGTTCTATATTTTAGTTTTTTTTAGATAATATTATAGCTGGTTAGTAGGTAGTATATATATAGATAAGACTTATATTACTTATTATAGCTTTTTTTTATATAAATCTTTTTTATCTAGTAAATACAGTAATTTTTTAGTAAATAAAATCTTTTCTTTCTATATATTTCTTTTTTATTTAGTAAATAAAATCTTTTTTTATACTATTTATATAACTAGTTTTAAAGGTATAGTTAGGCTTAGCTATTAGTATTATATAAAGTATATAAAGTACTATATAAAAAGGCTACTCCCCCTTCTTTTTAGCTCTTTTTTTTTATATATCTTTTTTTTATTCTTTTTATTACTAATCTGTTTTTTTTTATCTGTATAATTCCTATTATTTTTTTTATTTATTAATATTATATTTTCTTCTTTTAATACTAGGGCTGATAAGCCTGATTATCCAGATAATATACTAGTTTTTATTTATTATAATTTTTTTTAAATCTTTTTTATTTTTACTAACTGTAATTTACTTTTTTTATTTATATAATATATAACTATTTATAATTCTTATACTAGTAATACAGAGTACTGGATTACTATACAACTAATAGTATATAATAATAAAGTCTTACTTTAACTTTGCTATACTTTAGATTAGTAGTATATTTAGTATTTCTTTTACTATAAATTTAAAATAAAGATTGGTACTTTTACTATAGTTTAGATAAGAAAATCTAATAATATTTTTATATAAGATACTAATAGAGTTAGATATATACTAGGCACCCTTTTTATATTAACAGCCTTTTAATTATATCCTATAATTTAGTAATACTATATTATTATAAATATAATAATTAAATAAAGTTCCAGCAGACTGTATAGCTGTTTGGATAGTAAAATAAGATCT